TTGAACTTCCCAAATTTTCAACCCAAATTTCTTAATCACGTTAATATTGGATATAAATTCATCACTTGTAATTTGGTATCATGGAATGGTTTTTTTCTTTAATATTTATTAGGATGCTAATGGTTACGATCATGAACAGTCATAACCTAACCCTAACCGATATCGGTCGGTCAAAGGTTTCTGACCGATCGATTTTGACCGATTTTGACCAACCGGTTGACCAGACATTTTTTAATTATAATATCATACAAGAATTCTTTGCATTAATTAACAATCATTTAGTTATGTAATTTTTTATAAATAAAAATTTTTAATTTATTTTTTAAAAAATGCTGTAAATATGAAAGAAAACTTAAAAGTAAGATATATAAAAGATCGGAGTTTTAGCAAATACCATGTTAGTATTATTTAAAGCTTAAATTAAAATTATCGATCAAGAACTTTAAATTATATTATTGTTAAATGGGCCGGTCAAACCGGTCAGTATAACCGGTCAGTCGTTCAAAGGCCTCTGACCGAACGTTACCATCCCCAATATTTATAGTAGCTAAATAAATAAATAAATTATTAGTATATTAAAATATATAATAATAATAATAATAATAAATATTTACATGATGCAATTTACTGTCTTTTAACTTCGCTTTTATCACATCTGGTATATGGTATACCTGAATTGTCATGGGTGTTTCTAGTTTTTAAACATTTTTCATCGTTTTTTTACTACTAAAAAAATTAAATTAGTATTGTAAAAATAGTATGAAATAAATGCAGTAGTAAATAATATAAATGCATGAACCGCTTATGCAAAGCATTAGTATTATTTCCATATTTTCTCCAAATGTGACAAACGTATAGAAAAAATTATTTGAGTTTTTTTTTTATTTCGTCCGTACCAACTTGTATCAGCGTACTGTCGGTTTTCCATATTCTGATCGTCGTAAAAAAAAATAAAAATAAAAAATTCAAAAAAAAACACCTTAATAAAATTAAATCAAGTATCGACAACCGGGAGGGAGGATAACCGGTATATATCGTAACTTAATAATAATCATAATTTGAAAGATCGTACCGACCTGCAAAATCGTACCAGCCGAATCGTACCCTGCTGGTTTTCCTTATACTCGTTTTCTAAAGGGTCAAACTCAAACTATTTTCGAATTCAAAACATCAAATATTTTTACTACCAATTTAATTCGTGAAAAATTTTACCTTTTTTGGTTAAATTGTCATCTTATGTTGCATAGACAAAAATTCTTTTCATTTGGTAAATATTTTTAAAGATCAACGAAAAATTCCGGATAACATACGCGCCCCTTTTATTCCATATTTGGTATAAAATTCGTGGAACCTAATGTTGTTTATACTTTGAGAATTCGAAAGAATTTATTCTGTATAGCATTTTCTGAGTGAAAAAATGTTTTTTGCAGGATCTTCTGACTATACTTTGAGAATTCGATAGAACAAAGTAATTTTTTTTTTCTCATTCGTTATCTTGCACCATATCTACTTTCTTCAATTCTATATTGAAAGAAATACAGGATTTTTTAGTTTCAAATTAGTGATACAAATATACTTTGTAACCTATCATTATTGATTGTATCGGAATTTGAAAGTGACACAGCACCATTTTATTTTTGTAAACTATCTCCTTTTTTAGTATTAAATAAAAAAGGATCTGCAAGATTTAATATATTTAAGGATTTATTAATTGCATATTTCAATAAGCTCAATTATTTTTTTTTTTTATCCTTTTAGCTCTCAAGAATTTTTTTAAAGTTTTAAGTGACACGAATTTTTAATAAAAAATAGTTGATATAATTAGTCACATTTTAGAATAATAATTTTTAAATTAAGAATTAACGATTTCTCAATTTTCTTGTAATAAAAAGATCACGTCATTTATTTGCCAGAATCGTCCATTTATGCTATACATTATTATAATTGGTGTCGGAAAATCGATCCATTCTGAATACTTTTCCAGATAAAAAATTCGAACTTTATGTTTTTATTTTAAATGAAATGAATATTAAATTTTTCGAAATAAAGTTATTATTTCTTTTTTTTAAATAACGGGAAAAATATTTTAACATTTTACATAGTATCATTTTTAATTTGACAATAAAATTAAAATTGTTCATTGTAACGAATTTCACTTTCATGAGTAACTCCACAAGAGCTCGATAATGTGATAAATCCCATTCTCACTTATTCTTATTTGTGAAATAAAAATTTAGCTGATCTATTTCATGTTTATCTGCTTCTTTATAAACTTCTAATTGTTCTTCATAATTCTTGCACGTATTCTAATCGAGATGTTAAGTCGTTTAGAGCATTTGTACAAGCTCTGTATATGTTATGAATCAATACAATGATAAAAGGAACTATTTATCAGTCAATTCAATGTAATTAATGATATTAGAATCATAACGTTTTTAATAAAATCTTATTGGAACTTTTTCCACATTCACCTTATTCTTGCCTCTATTGCAATATTTTAACGGTTTGATCTTTGTATGCTTCAATACATTTTGATTTCTAGTTGCTTCGAATTTAATTGAAATATGATTAGCATACTTTCGATTTAATATATGTATCTAGTATTGTCTTGCAAAATTTTATATCTTTGCACTCTAATATATGATCTCGTGACACTTGTTAACCGGAAAATAGTAAAGACAAATTCCGGACAGATCACTGTGTCCGGAACATGTGCCGAAACGTGAAAGACCTGTTTTTGTCCGGATTTGTCATTGTCCGGTTTTTGTTTAGAAATTTGATATTCATCTGAAACTTATTACCAAATGGTGGGTGTAAAGTTATTTACAATTTTTATTTAATATCTTAGATAGTATTTTTACCTGCTCTGCAAGTTTACTTAGTGTACAAGTCTATGAATAAAGTTGCTATTTTCCGAAAAGGATTATGTCTCAAATGTTGACCGATGGTTTTTAGTGATTTATTTTGGTCGACCGCTACCCTTTTAAATTTTAAGACAAAAATTGATGTCCGGAATGAGATATATTCTATACAAATAAAACCGGACATTTTTGGATATAAAATATATTGAAATTTTTGAACCGGACAATTCCAGACAATATTTCTAAAAATGGATAAATTAAAAAATCAAATAATGTAAAAAAGCACAAAATTGACATTTTAAACCTTTCTTCTTGCTTAATGACTACTAAAATAAATCCCATTTTTGAATGTAACAGCATTCCAATAACAACAATGGTATAAAAAAAAATTATATATTTTGTTTGGGAGTATTATTGCTCAAGGACAAACGAATCAATTTGCTTTCAGGAAATAATGACAAGATCCAGTATGTTAAATTTTTCAGAGGCAACTACCTGAAATTCAACAAATGTTAGGACATGTGTGGTGCTTTTAACAAGGAAGTGAAATAATGTAGCTAAGGAATTTCTACAGTTCAATATGCCAGTGGATTTTTACTGACCAAAAGTCCCGATCTCATATCGTCAAGACTAATGGCAACCAAAAATCTTGCCGATTTAAACATTTTTGAAAGGGCAAATATGCCAGATTCTGTTGTAAAAAATTAATATGAACTAAATTGATATTTTAAATGTCATTTTAGGAATGACTTGCTTTAATGATTTACGGAGATGTTTCTCCTATACTCCAGATATTACGTCGCACCGACTTTAAATGAATTGCTTATATTATTTATATTATTTATATTATAATCGTTTGATTATAGAACTATGATAATGGGTTTAAATCAAACGGGAATTAAATCCGAAGATCAAAAACTGTTCCAACTAACGCTGCGGATATCAATTTATAATTTACAGTTGTTTTTCTACATAATGTTATTATTAAGAAAATCCTTGTTTTTATTTGTTTGCTGATCGGCACCCCTTCTTTTAATGAAGTATCGAAATCCAAAACGCCACTTTATTGTTGTTTACCATCCTCCCTTCCTACCTCCTATTCACTATTTTACAATTTTTATTGTATCAATCAAATCAACAAATTTATTAATGCTTAATACTTCATTAATGTTAGCAGCAAAGTTTCAGCAGTTGTTTTTTTTTTAGATTAAATTTCAGAAAAATAAAGATTCATTGTAAGATGCAAAATAATTAAAGGAAGTTAAATATCGAGTCAAACTTATGCGACAAAACTTTCTTAATGACGAAATCATTAAATGTATTAAAATTGAACAATGCAGAATTTTGATAATAAATAATGCGAATATAATTCACGATACTCTGTTTATCAAAAACTGTGATATTTTTTTGGCAATAGACTTACGGTATTCAAAACGGAATGTATGGTTGATTCTCCGACCATTATATATTTTAGTTCACCACTTTATTAATATTGATCGACATCGATCAAAAAGGACGCTTTTCTACCATGTTATGCATGACACTGTTTCATATTAGCGGAGGGTTTTAACACATGGGTCAGTTCATGAAATTTTCCGCTAGATTTATATATTTTTTAAAATAGTAGTGAAAGTTATAATGGGCGTGACATTTTAAATTAATTAAACTATCGTAGATATAAATGAATAAATCAATTTAAAATAACAACCCTATATTTATCAAAGCCATTAAATACGCGGCCGATTTTTTGATCCACTTGTACCCTTCCTTTAATTTTTTTCTTTACGAAATTTGTTTCTTCGATCGTTTTAATTCGTATATTATAACGCGTACTATATGATATAATCGTTTTTCTTTACCAATCATGATTTATAAAACCTCAAAATATTTATATTTATGTTTAACAATATTTTTGTTAAAATTTCCCATTGTAAAGTCACAAGAGACTTCAAATGCCAATGTATCAACAACGAATCTAACAATTAATAAACACTTTAACCAAACTGTTGACATTACAGCTTTAGTATTCGGCCATATAGATTTGATAGTCTGCTCTTTTGTGGTATGTTATCAAAAACCATGTTAATTCTCAGTATCATAATGTAACGTTGCATGTCGTTTTAGATTTACTCTGCGTATATGAAATGGCGCAAAAGTATATTATCATTGTCAAGTCGAGTTCCTCTATATCTCAGTATTTCAGAGATATTCCAATGTACAGTAATTATAAATTATATAATTAATAAATCAATCTTCATAATCGTAGGCGTCGTTTAATTAATTATTATTATCTTATTAGATTTAGTATTTATGCCAAACTTCTTTTATTCGTTGATTTATCATGAGTTAATTCCAGAAACTCCTTGTAAAATATTCGCTTACTTTTTCTTTCTTCAAATCAATATAAATATGATTTTTATGGCTGGTATTGCCATTGTCACTTATTTGGTAAGCAAAATTTGTAAGTTTTTTTTTAATGCACAAAATTATTTATTAAACCGTGGTATTTAGAGCATTGTTAAGGCCCAAACGTACCAATTTGGAACTTATGACTGGTAGGATTTACTATTAAATAACATGATGATTTAATGTACGTGAATAATCCATTTATCTATCATTATATATTTATATTTATAGGAAATTCATTACCTGTATATTGTCAACATCGTTATTACTCTCGACTCTATCGATCCCATCGCTAGGACCAACAAAATTTTGGTGCCTAGCTTCGTCATCTACAAATTATTTGTCGTTAATAAGTGAAATGGTTATATTTGGAGTAACGTTTATTATAATATGTTACTGTTATTATAATACTTTATCAAAGATCTTTAATGTAGATAGAGAAAATACGGCTTCAACTGGTAGAATCAATAGACGAAACAAATTGGAAAGGCAGGCTACGTTAAAAATTTTGATCTATATTTCAATATTTTTAAAATGGTTACCTTTGACGTTTTTTAGTATATGCATTATGACCGGTTCTGAAGAAGCTTTATGGATGCATATCTCTGCTTTAGTTGGTATGTGACTCAAATTTAATCAATTGGGGATGACTCATTTATCTAAATTCTAATAACATTTACAAAAACTTAGCATTTCATTTGGGAGGCTTATTTAGTTGCATCTTATACCTCATGAACGAAGGGTTTCCTTATTCAAATAGGAATTCAGCTACGTATGAGATGGAAGAGCAGGATCATGATCTTCAGAACCATCCTAATGTAATAGTTCCGGATTCGAGTTCATGATGGTGATTCAATTATTTTGTTGGAATACAAATTTTGAAAATGACTTGAAACTTTGATAAAAAATAGTAACAATTATTTTTAATTCATTTATTATTCTATACTTTTTTATTAAAATAAAATCTTTCGTGATTTGGGTTGTGAATAAATTTTAATGATTTTAAAAAAAATTTATTCATTGAAGATCAATGTAATTATTTTAGAGAATTTTTTTTTTTTTTTGGTCTCGTCGATTCTGATGTACACTCTTTGGATTTCTTTACATGAGATCGTTGTATAAATACCTTATAATAAAAAAATATTCGTGTGGATAATGTTGTAAGCACCTAAATTTTAACGTTGTAAACGTGCAACAATTAAACATACCCGTTGCGTTGTCAGTACGTCAGTAGTTTAGTCTATTTTATTGAATAATAAATTTCGCTTAAATTTCATAAATTACTCGATTCAAATGGTAAAAACGAGATGCCTTTATTACTTTCCTTATATTATTGTAGACTTTCCTTGCGGCATCACCTTATTCTTGTTCTTTGCATTTAATATTAATAAATAATGTACTACTTGTAAATAGCAAGCCCGGAAAATTTACTGTTAAATATATCACATTAACCGGCCGGTTAATTTATCGGATCAACAAAAGCTAAGATCTTTTTTTTAAAGGCGGCAAAAAAGAAAAAAAAATCAGGAAATTGTTTGGGGAGGGCATCAGGTTCCAAATTTAGTACGCGAAATTTAATAATCACGATCAGCATGTTCTTTTTTTATGTTTTTTTTCTGAAATATAAAATAATTGAAGCAGGAAAAAGGAATATAAGGAATATAATTGGCTTAATTGGCTTCATTATTATATCTTCAAAAATTCAGGATAAGAGATATGCAGAATGATGTACATTTTGATTTTTATGGAAACTCAATAACCTTTTGAAAGATTAGACATTACAAAGACAATATGCAAGATGATAAATATTCATTAATCCTTTTAAGACAAATAAAGCAATCTTACTAAAAAAGGATGTTCCGACAAAGTAATTATTATCTAAACCGTAAAAGGAAACCATTTCCGAGGTTCTAACTCTATATATCAAGCAAAATGAAAATTCCAAATGATAAGAAGTAACGTCACTTCTAACCATCTAACTGTAATAGGAACTAACAATTGAGTGAAACGTAATCCTTATTTTAAACACGTAATCGGTCGATCAACTCATTTTTAGCCAATCCAAAATATTCCGACAAATAACGGGTGAAACTTGCAAAACCATCCCCCTGTTCAAACCATAGAAAAATAAACTGCAATCGTGATTCCTTATCACAATTAACAGGTATTCTCTCCTGTTGATTTTTTTTAAAAGTTTTAATTTAGATTAATAGATTCATTAATGGTCAAACAGTATGATGTTACCGTTTGATCCTTTAGCTTTTATTTTTTAGATATCTGAATTTAAATAAAATAATAACATAACTTCTTACTTATATCATCAGTTATTATTGTGATTTTTCTACTGTCAAAAATAATATCTAAAATACAAATAAAATTGACAAGCTCTACTTGTTGTTCAAACTTTACTACCTCGAGATCGAAATTATCTTAATTTGCCTTTAACCTGCAAGAGATATAGATGTTGGAACCGGTTAAATTTAACTCGGAAAAGCCATTCACATTTTTATGGATAAAAAATTGTGTCGTTCCGTTCACGTTTCATGGCCGATCAGGTTACACGAATTTATAATCGATATTGTAATTATTATATGTATACGTGATATTATTATTACGCGCAATATTAAACTTTATAAAAGGAACAATTGAAACCATTTTATTTTGATTCTTATTTGAGAATGTTTAAGGTTAAAATATCTTTGCTTTTGAATTAATTTTCTACTAGTCTTTTTATAAGAAATTATTAACCAACTAATTTGAATATTTTCTATCATTTAAAATAATTTAGTACTAAATTATTTTGATTAAATAAAGATTAAAATTTATTAAAATTTTATTATCATGTATAAATCATCACTTATATTTAAACAAATTTATTTTGTGATCTATTACTACTTGTAAATAATTAAATAGAATTCTTTTCTATTAAAATAATCTACAGGAAATAAATTTGATGCATTATTTAGTATATAACTACTATTCATATTACTAATTACATTAGAAATTCTCCCACAACTTTTAAATCGACTTTTTCTGCATTAATAAAACCTTTTAATGAATAACTAATAGTTAACTTTCTATACTAAACCTATTATCTATCAATTTAAAATATTCTTTATAATAAATTGTTATATAAATTTCATTTAAATAAATTGTAATGAATTTCATTGAATAATTTATTACAAAAGTTGTTATACAATTTTATTTAAATGAATTGTAATGAAATTTATTATAATGACTTATTATACAAATTTCATTTATAGCTATTTACATAATTCATGAACTATTAATAAATTGAAACCAAAAATATTTTATAATAAAATTACTATAAAATATTACAACTAAATATAATTGACTGTAATTGAAATTATTAGTGATCCAAAAATTATAAAAATAGCTGTAAATGAATTATAGTGAATTTTATTGAATAGTTTATTATCAAATTCATTATAATGAATTTTATAGAAGTTTATTTAAATGAATTATAATAAATTTTATTGAATGATTTGTTACAAATTTTGTTAAATAATTTATGAAATTTGAATTTTAATGAATTTATTAAATGATTTATTACAAAATTTGTTATAATAAATTATTATATGAATTTTATATAATAATTTGCAATAAATTTTATTTGCATTTAAAGTTGATTTTCATTATTTCAAAAATAATTTTTATTAATTAAAGATAAATTTTATCGATTCAAAAACAAAATATCATATTCAAATACTATTTTATCAATTAATAATAATTTGTATCTTCTATTAACTTTTTATTATGAATTGTTTACTATTAATCTCATGTATCATAGTAAATAATATATATATAACCTTTTTTTAAAAATCAGAATCACCTTTCTTTTTTTTCTTCTTTATTATTTTTTTTCTAATATTTTTTCTTTTAGTTTTCATTAAATTTTCTTTTTTTTTTTTAGTTAAAAACTTAGTAAATGGTTTTTCAGAACTTTTTTAGAATGTAGTTTTCAGTTTTTACTTTTTTATAATATTAAACTGTATAAAATATTCTTTTTTTTAAATAAGATAAATAGTTTTTTAAGATTTATTCTAAAGGTATTTTTCAGTTTTTTACTTATTTTTCTTATTTTTTTTTATAGGAGTGAACTTTTCTTGCTATTGACTAAGGTATAATATAAATTATAACTTTTTTGGTAGTAATTTTTTAGTATTTTCTTTTAATAGAAGTGGACTTTTCTTGCTTATTAACTAAAATAAATCTATAAATTATAATTTTTTTAGTAATGATTTTTCAGATATTTACTAAATTTTTTTCTTTTTTTAATAGAAATAGACTTTTTTCTTATCAAATATAATAAATAATTAAAATTAATAAATTTATATTAATTGAAAGCTTTAATATTTATAAATATACCTTTCTTATAATTAAATATACTAAATTAAATCAATAAAAAAATTTTTTATTGTAATTAATCAGAATAAAAAATAAATAATTATTTCTGAGACCATATGATTTCGTAAGCAAATTTGCTTACTTATTTATTATAAATTTTCTTTGATTTACTTTTATAAATAATTAATATTTAAAAAAACTTTTTTTTAAATTAATTTTATAAATATATAATATATTATAATAAGTTTTATCTTTTAATTATGAAATAAAAATTTGGTGTTACTTAGAAACTAAAAATTTATATTAAAATACTTTATGATTAATATATTAATCATAGAGCTCTGAACAGGTTAGATCAGATCGGATAATTGACTTGACCTGACCTGATAAGGTCAGGTCAGACATAAAATTGACCTGAATTAAATATACATTTGACCCGATCCGACCTGACCTATCTAAAAAAGGAAACTAAACAATTATTAATTTTGTATAATAATTTTTTAAAAAAATATAAAAAAATATTGATACATTTTTATATTTGATTAATTTTCAAAAAAAAAGATACTAATTTAATTATTTTAACTGCAAAATTTAAAATTACAAGTTGCGATAAATCTGCAAATCTGGTGACTGCTAATACAATTACAAAAAACATTCATAATTTTACAACCATTAATCC